GCACGCACGCACGCACGCACGCACGCACGCACGCACGCACACACGCACAAACACACACACACACACACAGTGTAACACAACCACACGCACACGCACACGCACACGCACACGCACACGCACACGCACACACACACACACACACACGCACACACACACACAGTGTAACACACACGCACACGCACACGCACACGCCTATAAACATTTTAACCGCGCGTGCGAACAGCAACGCACACTGCGATGAAGCCAATATTAAGCAGAAAAGCCCAGAATAGAACATTTCCATTAGCCGCGTGCGTCACGCGAGCCTGTTTAGGACTTTCTACGAGGATATATTACATCGGCGCGGACGAGACACCTGCTGTTATAGCATCCTCACCTGTATGCTGTCTCCCTCTCGCACGACGAGGGGGGACTCAGCGTTAAACGCATCCACCCCAAGTGCCATCAGCGGCCGATCCATCACGGTGCCTAGCTTCGGACTGGCCGGGCTGTGTGAAGAAACAACAGCAGGTGATTAGACTATGACACGCGTCGCCCGAGATGTCAACGCTGACATTCGGGTTGTCACCGATATTAAGCTATCCATGAGCTATTGTCGTGACGGAATGCAGGGATATATTTGAGCATTTTAAGCGTGGAAATACACTCTTGCTCTCTTGCTCTCTTGCTCTCTCTCGCTGTCTCTGTCTCTTTCTCTTTCTCTCACTGTTGCTCTCTCACTCTCTTTCTCTCTCCTACATGAACGAGGGAAACTAAGCTCTACTGGTTTTAGATGGTGATTCCTTCCACCTCGGCCCCACCCCTTCCCACCCCATCACACCCCCGCTCCACGTGGCCTCCTCCCCTCCTACCTGTTGTGACCGTGCTGCGAATGATGGTGACTGTGCAAAGCTATGATGTCCAGGTCGACCGGTCGCTTGGTCTTCATCAGCGCAAAGATGCAGTCTCCCTTGATGACGTCAAAGTCCCAGGTTATCACGGTGCCTGGCTCCAGGACGGGAATGAGTACCTGCGGGGTAAAGAGTTAAGAACACACGGAGGGATCGGTAACTAATGCATCACGGTGGACTATCGAGCTTGCACACAATGCGCCGTGTTGGAATTTTTCGGTGTTCATTTCGTCACAAACGTTATATAAATCTGCATCAACCATGCTATCTTTTATTTATTTATTTATTTATTTATATATTTATTTCTTTGTTTTACATATTCATTCACTCATTCATTCATTTATTATCTATCTGTTTATGTTTTAACCAAGGACACCTCGGGCCGTCACTGTACAGTACTGATCGCGCGTGAACCCCCAGCACACAGCCATCTCCCACCATCGCGCAACATCAGAGCAGAGCGCCATCTATAAACAATCGCACGCACCTCGTGCGGCGTGCCTCGGAATATGTTGGCCGGATGGTAGATGCTGTCCGTCTCAAGCGGCGGTCCGTCGGTCAACTCCTGGTCAACCTCGGCCATGTAGAGCGACTTGGGGATGAGTCCACCCGGTGCCATATCACACTGTGACACAGAATAGTAACATAGTCACGTTTCAACTTAAATATCAAAGGCAAGCTCGTATTTGGCTAAGTGAAGCTTGCTGGGAGCAGTTTGGTCAGTATCTGTGACAATGATTTGACAAAATAAATGACCAGACAGCACTGATCGTGAGCAAGTGTACCCACCTAAGCCACCCCTGCCTAGAAATCAACCTTTAGTTTTTAAAACCAGTTATGAAAAACCCCACGAAGCCTCGACGATGAGGCCGCGCCCGTCTAGACCGGCGCCCGCTCCCTGCGCGCCCCGCACTCGCCTCTCACCTGCGAGTCGCCGTCGAGGAAGTCGGGAATGTAGCGCGTGTCTATGTAGTCGGTGAGCCCGCCGGGGCCCTGGTAGTCGTTGCCGCCGAGTATCAGGAACTTGTTGCGTGTGTTCTCGTCGATGAACGGGCTGACGAGCGTCCAGAGCACAGGGAAGACGCGCGGGGCGCGCACAATCAGCAACCGGCCCATCGTCTCTGGGTAGTTGGCCTCGACGAGCTCGATCATACGCAGCAGCACGCGCACGCCGGGCCGCCACAGGTGCCGCATGCTGAGCCCCTCCAGGTCGACGAGTCCCGTCCACGAGCTACGTACGCACGCGTGAGACGATACAGAGACTATAATACTAATTACAAATTACACGCCACTACTAACACTAATTATTAATTACTCACCACTACTAATACTAATTACTCGTCACTACTAATAGTAATTACCAATTACTCGTCACTACAAATACTAATTACTAATTACTCACCACTACTAATACTAATTATTAATTACTTGTCACTACTAATTACTAATTACTCATCACTACTAATACTAATTACCAATTACTTGCCCCTACTAATACTAATTACCAATTACTTGCCACTACTAATACTAATTACTAATTACTCGTCACTACTAATACTAATTACTTGCCACTACTAACACTAATTATTAATTACTTGCCACTACTAATACTAATTACCAATTACTCATCACTACTAATACTAATTACTAATTACTAATTAGCCGTAGCTCTACTCGTTTAACTATACACAGCTACACAGCACTCGTGTGGCTTGCTAGGTCGGTGTTGGGTGGGCGGTTTAGTGTAGTCGATTTGATATTTCATGATAAAGTTTTTTTGCTGATTTGTACTCATATGGGGTCCTAAAACTAATTCAGCTTGGTTGCCTAAATGGCAACTTTGGGGAACTCTAGTAATTTGCATAAATACAAAATGGCCGCTGGACGCCATCTTCAAAATTGAACTTTTTAACCACTTGATCTAAAATGATGTGTAATGCATCTGGGTAACCAGTGGTAATGCAGTGGGTGGGTAGGTATGTATGAGGGGGTCAATGCCCTTTTCGTACGCCGGATTCCGGCCTATTTAGAGAGTATTCCGTACGCCGAGGTGCGGTACGCCGTACGACGGCGATGACAGTAATAACGTATTCCCGTACGGCGAAAATGAATTGATACTATAATCGGGGATTTGTGCTACTTTTTTGCTGAACTTTTGCCTGCCCCATTTTTTAATAAATTTGGATCTATTTACCCTGCTAGACTGGAACGAGACTGTCCCCATGCAGTAGGATCGGGCGAACCAGACGGAATCAGTCCGAATCCAGTCGGTGTACGCACAGTCTAATGTTAATTGAAGTATACAACCGAAACTTATGCCACCGTTGTCGTGGTTGTTGCATCTGGACTGGATTTAGGCCATTACGCGCGCTTTTTTGCTGGTGATGAAGTGTTAAAGAGCCCGCAAATATATATACTACCAGAGGCGGATTTAGATGGGGCACATCCGGCCCGTGCCCCCCTTTTGAAACCAAAAAAATTACAAAATACAAAATTAATTTTTCCATTTCAATGTTGTAAATAAGGTTACAAGATGAGATTCCAGTCAGAAATTGTGACATCATGACCCATTTTCATGTTTAACATAATATTCAAATTTGTCAGTCATTCTTCTCTGAATTTCCTGCCAAGAAACATCTCAGTCATTACAAGAATTTGATTTTTAGCATTGTTAGAGATATATTTGCTGCCTGCAACATGTTATATGTCATACATGTATGTAACCGGATGTTTCATTAGAGAAGAAAGTACTAATTTTATTTTGCTTCTGTAATGACATACTCATACTAATATAAACATTCTTTCAAGTTTGAAATATATTCGAGTTATCACAAGATTTTTTTTTTTAAATTGCCATATTTTTCTCTAGCCTGCAATAGTTTTATTGATATGTGAATCTGCTTCTGTAATACCACATGATCATGTCAGAAATATATAAGGTTTAAAACATTTTCAGGGTAATGTAATTTCTCGTAGCATTTGACGGTCTTGCCTCCCCCCCACCCCGCCCGCCATAACCGACAAGGCTGGTCACCGCCACTGATCAAAATTTAACACTAAATGATTGCTGAATATGAGTTAAAATACCCTCTACAGTATGCACCAGATTGCACCATTTTAAGCTAAAAAGTGCAAAAGCTCCCCCTAGGGGCGTGTACAGGGGGTCCAGGGGTCCCAGACCCCCCCTTCGCGTGCTCGTAAGTATGTGTTACGGTTAGACCCTCCCCCCTTGTCCAAATCCTGTACACGCCCCTGCCACCCTCACTCGCTTCGCTCGCTGCCGGCTTGGTCCCTCCGCCTCTATCGCCGATCATCCCCCCACATTTCACTACATATTGCTCATTTGGTGCCCCCTTTTTTTGAAATTCTTGGATCCGCCCTACCAGTAGTAGCATCACACAACCCAGAAGCAGGACAGGAAGGCAAATCAAATTCAACAGCAGATTTGCCGACTTCTGGGCATAAAGTCTGTACCTTTTCTTCAATTATTTGCCTCTAACAAGCATGACATTAAGATGTATTTATTGCTTACCTAATAAATAGTGTGCATGAATAAAGGTTAATAAATGTTGTGTATTGGACTATTGGTTACTGTTTGCTTATGTATTATTCGGGTGCTGGCTGCAGGTTAAATAGTATTCCAGATGCCATCCCAAAATTATGGAGTATTCCAGATGCCACTGAAAATTAGAGAGTATTCCGGATGCCACTGAAAATTAGAGAGTATTCCGGATGCCAAAGAAGGGGGGGCATGGACCCCCTCATGTATGTATGTATGTAGGTGGGATGGTTGTATATCAGGTAGGAAAGTGGGTAGTAATACTACATAGATCTATAGGATAAGCAGAATTTCACAAAATGATGACAAACTATGGTACACATACACGCACATGCACACAAACACGCACACAAACACGCACGCACGCACGAACACGCAAGCACACGCACGCGCACGCACACGCACACGCACACGCACACGCACACGCACACGCACACGCACACGCACACGCACATTGATAAGGCACGGCACTGCACTGTAGAGTACGGTACAGGTCAGTGCAACACCCCTACGCATCCCTACCTTATGGGCTTCTGGCGGGTCTTTGTAGCCTTCTCGCACTTCTGCAGGCCTTCCTCACACGTCGCGAGCAAGTGTCTCAGTATGTCGTCCTCCCCCACAGCGCGCAGCAGTCCCTTGAAGTCCATCTGACCGAGCCGCAGCACGTACAGGGGCCGGCCCGCTGAAATAAACAACGGAACGCCTCTTCGTTTAATCTCCCACCCAAAACTTCTAAAACAAAGCGGGTTTTTTCGGGAGGAAGTTCGGCGGAGTATGTGAACCGTTCTGCCTGCCTGTGTAATGCTAGCAATGGACGAACCAGGGGGCGCCACGTGGCAGAACAAGTGAACAGCTCTCCAATTAAGTTTAATTTCGACTCATAACACTCTGAAATGTGACGAATAAACACTAAATCTTTTAACTCCACTGACATCAAACTAAACCAAGTAACACAACTCGGTCCGCGGGAGACACCGCGCACGCAGCCGACGCCTAAAAAATCAGAAGCAAAGCACGGCTAACGCCGACGAGACGAAGGAAGGGTCCACCCCCACTCACCCATGTCCTCGCGGTGCCAGCTTCCGGCGAAGTAGTCGGTGATGACGGGATGCGACTTGTAGCCGGTGAGCAGTCGATCGATCTGGTGCTGCTTGCGCCACAGCAGCGACTGGTGCAGCATCTCTCGCGCCTTCTCGACGTTGAAGTCACGCGCGCGCAGAAAGCGCATGAGGTGAGCCTCGTTCGGCATCTGCGAGCGCAAAACACAAAGCAAAGCTGTGAAGCCACGCTGGCGCGTTTGTGAAGAACGATGCATGAAGAACAGCGCTGCGTTGTATGCAAGTGTTTGTGTACACAGAACGCTGCATGAGTGGCGCTCTTTTAAGCCCGTAAGTCGTTTTACACACACTGGTCGTACGCTAACATTTTTACATTACATTTTTTTTCAGGAGGTAGAATTTAACGTTTAAAAACATATTTTGATTTAAATAAAAATTTTTTTATTTAAAATCTAACAAAAAAAAAGTATATTAAATTCATTATCCCCAAAATTGATGGAGACACGCTTGCTGCAAACAAGTCCTGTTCTCCGCGACTCACCCGTGACACGATCTACCGAGACAGGACTGCAGGGAGCGCGCGACAAACGCACACTCCTCTCTCACCTTATCCTTGTGAGTCTCGCTGATCCACTTTCTCATCTCCATCAGCTTGCTCTCCTCCAGGAAGCTGAGCGGTCCCAGGAACTTCTCGATGTAATCGCTGTCGATCTTTTGCACTGCAACAATCAGATGCCGGATGTCAGGGTTAGCGCCTCGCCCCACGCGGTTCTAATGCGACGGCTTCAGAGCTTCTTAGCGCCTCGTTACCAACGAACGTATAATTTTGTGTGTGCTTATGGTATAGTCTCGTTAGGTTTCCCCAACCTTTTGCTTTGTCTCGATAGCAATTTTTAGCAACCCATCTTTGCAACGATGCGCAACCGTTGTTTCCGGCGCTCATCTCGACTCAACTCGATTTTCTGATCGATCTTAAATCTTTCGATTTTAAATCCCGGGAGGACGGACACGCAAGCAGCACAGTTGGTAGAGACATACGGATTTCCCCGGCACATTGAGCACAAGGCTTTCGCTCAACTTTCACTCCGCAGTGCCACCGTACGTACTCTTACGCGTCGTCGATATATACCCGTCTATACATCGGACGGGGAAAGCACCCGGACACCCTTCGCGCAGCGCCCCACCCCGTCCTCTAACCTACAAACTACTAAATATTAATACATAAAAATATTAAACTAAATAAAAATAATAATAACTACTTCCTGCAGCCAACTAACACCTACCCTCCTTGCTCCGTCGGTCGGGCAGATCGGCGGTGGCGCCACCCATCGCGTCGTGCGGCGCCGACTCGCGGCGTGTTCGCAGCGTGCTCACGCTGACCATGCTGTCGACGCGTGGTCGCACCTCCTCAGCCTCCGTCTCTGCGGCGATCGTAAACGTGACGGCCGGGGCGGCGGCGGCAGGGGAGAGGGCGTCGGGGTGCATGGCCTGGGAGACCGGCTCCCATTTCGGCAGGATTGTGACGCCCTGCGATAGCAGCTCCTCTATGTAGTAGAGGATGATCTCCTTGCCCTGTCGGCGGGATGAGAACATGGATGTACGTACGTACGTTTGACGCACCCAACTATCCTCTGCATTCGACGGCCTTAGTCTAAAATACATGTCCCACAATACTTCATGTCTACAATACAATACCCAATGGGGCGCATGTCTTCTAGACTAGCGCCCATTCAACTACGCAACTACGCAAGAACGCTACTCAACTGAATAGACATTTGAGAGTATAAATACCACACAGTAAAATGTCACAAAAAAACAGCCACCTAATCATAGTCCACTCCAATACTCCATACTGCAATCCCTAACCCAGAACCATAATCCTAATTCCTAACCCTAATTCCTAACCATAACCCCAGTTCCAAATCATAATTCTAACATCTAGTCTTAATCCCAAACTCTTAGTAGTCTTACCCCAATTTCAAACCATCTTCTTAAAGGGAGAGTTTACTCTAGGTTCTAGGGTTATTTTCAGTTAATTTAGGTTATAATTACACTACATAAAAATTTTCATGGTTCAATCACCATTAGAAATATTTTTTTTAATGTTTTAAAACTAACGACTACAGTTTGATTACAACGACGGTGGCGCCACTCAAAGCGCACGATCTGATAAGTTGCGCAAAACCACTTTCCAGCCAAGGGCTACAGACCGAGGGTGTTTCTTATTTATTCATTTAAAAGCCAAAGGATTGTAATATCTTATAAACGACATATAGTTTCAGTTATAATATGGATAAATTTGCCCTAAAATGAATATCGTTCGGTTAAATAGCATTTAGGTATAAATATAATTGCACTTTTGTGATTAGCCCTCGGTCTGTAACGTGCAAAATAAATTGTGAAATACGCAACTTTTTCGGGGTGGCAGCACGGTCGCGGGTGTCATGGCGCCATTCAAATTTCGTAGCGTTGATGTGTAATTAATTATAACAATTAAATTAGGTATCTGGTAACAAATACGTGTGGGTATAGACGATTTGTTATACAGTAAGTACAGTTGTATGCAGTAAAATCCTAGAGGCTACTGTCCCTTTAATTCCCAACCCGAACCCTAATTCCTAACAATAATGCTAACCCTAAACCAAAGTACCCGAGTAGGTCTGTAATTATTGTACGCGGAATGACATATCCCACTTGACATTTTTGAGTTTCACTCCCGTCTGCGAGCCACGCAAAAGTGGCGCCCCCTGTGAATTCCGCCACACGCACACAAATCAAAAGGCCATTCATTCACCAGCATCTCGATAACTAAGGAATACGAAACCGTTCGGAGGTGGACACGAGCCGGCTGCAGCGTCTTTAGATGGCTACCAATCGATAGCAAGTAAACCCGTTCCCATTGCCACTGTCCTGCTGGCTACTCAGCGCCCAACGAATCGGTGCCAGTCTATATCTAACGCTGGCAGCCGGACTAATGACGTACCGGCAAACCTGAGTGTTACTTGTACACACAGACTGACAGGTGTACGTAATGATATCGTTATATTACCTGCTACCGCAAAGCACACAAACATATTGACACTGTCTCAAACGACTCAAAGCACCGATTGCCTTTCTTCCATCCTATCCTCTTCATAAGCAGTTTCAGTTTGAGCTCGAGCTGTCTTGAGAGGCATATGGGAAGTAGCGCTGAGAGGGTCTATGTCCCCCAGGGTACTGCCGGAACGTACCCTGGGTATGGTCCGGTATACCGGAACGTACCCTGGTAACCATCTGATATGGTTAGGGTTAGGGTTAGGGTTAGGGTTAGGGAGTAGGCGTAGGCGACTCCCTAGACTCGTTAGTGGAGTAGACGAGGTACGGTCCGGCATATTAGATAGTACCAGGGTACGTACCCGCAGTACCCTGGGGGACATATAGACCCTCTCAGCCATCCTTATCCCCTGCCCAGTCTTCTTGCCTACAACCAGGCTGACCTGAAGATCTATCTACCCACACATGTAACCCATAGGTATTACCGCAAATTCTGGATAGATCGGCATGGAGGTCAGCATGCGTTGAAGCCAAGGTGTAGGCAGACGTGACTAAAATACGCATGCGTATTATTCAGTACAGTCGGCTATCGCAGCTGAAATTTTATCAGGAGTGTATAATGTACGTAGGTGTATGAAATCCAATGAACTTATTTCATTCATTACGTATGCGTATTATTCAATATAATCGGCTATTGCAGCTGAGATATTACTACATGGCAATCGCATCTAAAACCGAATTCATGCGTATTATTCAGTATATAGTCGGCTATCGCAGCTGAAATATTACTACATGGTAATCGCATCTAAAACCGAATGCGTATTATGAATTCATATTTATCTTGTGTTAAATCCAAGAAATTAACTTACTATCGAAATTTTCAATTGTATTATGAATTCAGTTTCAACGAAATCCAATGAAATTATTTCATTCATTACGTATGCGTATTATTCAATATAATCGGCTATCGCAGCTGAGATATTACCAGGAGTGTATAATGTATGTGTATATCTGTGGCATCCCACCGCACCACTGCGGCGCCCAGGCGGACCACCATCGTCCTCACGCTGGCGCCCCGGCAGAGGCCACCATCGCCGCTACCGACCACCGCTGCCGCCACACCGCGGGACTGCGCCGACACCGCCGACGCCACGTCCAGCGGCCCCGCCAGCAGGCACCGCATCGACTGGCCGCCGCCGGCAGCGACCGACCACCCCGTGCTGCGGGTACAGCCTACCCGCAGACCACCACCACGGGTCCGCAGTTACGACGACGAGAACTCCGCCGACGACCACAGCGACGACGGCCACTGGCCCAACAACCTCCCCGACGACGAGGACGACTGGGGCATGCCGGCGTTCGCCCCACACGAGAAGGAGGACTGGGGCATGCCGGCGTTCGCCCCACGCGAGGACGACAACTGGGACATGCCGGCGCTCGCCCCACTCGAGGACGAGAACGGGAACCTGCCGGAAGTACCCCCACTCGAGGAGAGATGGCACCTGCCGGAGGTCGCCCCACTTGCAGAAAGATGGAGCCTGCCGGAGGTCGCCCCAGCCGAACAGAATTGGGACCTGCTGGACGCGGCCCCAGCGGAGGAAGAGGGCTGGCACTGGGCCTGGCAGGCCATCGGCAGGGGCCGACGACAGCTGGTGCAGGTGTTCGGGCGCTTCCCCCGCCCGGGGAATGGTCTAGGCATGTAGTGTATTGTCCTATTAGTGTATTAACGTATTGCTGTAATAATGTCTTAACGTATTGCCGTAGTCATCGTATTGACGTATTGCCGTATTGATGTATTAATATATTCATGTATTCATGTATTAATCTATTGATGTATTAATGTATTCGTGTATTGATGTATTGATGTGTTGAAGTATTAACGTGTTACCGTAACAATGTAGTGATGTATTAATGTATGGCCGTATTGCCGTATTACTGTATTGGTGTTTCGACGTGTCTCGTGCTCGTACGTCTCGCGTATTGCCGCGCTTTCTATAATGACGTCTTGCCGCTATCGCAGCACATAAATGTAGTGCTGACATAGAGAAAACAAAAAACCCATAAAATACAAAACCCAACAAATGCGGCCGCACCTATAGCGTCCCCAACGTCGTAATCGTAATCGTATTATACCGTATCGTACCGTCTCGTACACCTTCGGGTACTGTCGCATGTGCCCCTGTGCGCGTTTCCCGGCACGCAGCCACCACTCCGACGCCCCGCCCTACTACGACACCGTTGCACCATCACTGCGTTCCGTACGTGATGTCGCAACCGTTACTCGCCACAACTTGTGGCTCCTAACGTTTTGGAACCTCGAGGCAAGTGTAGGAAAGCGCCGGCTTCACAGATAGTACATATTAGTTCGCGGCACGGACGCAATCACAATAAATCATTCCATGACCCATAATGATGATTCCGCCGTGATGTCCACCTGCCCCATCTATAGGGACCAGACTTGTTGACGAAAAGACGCGTAATTAGCAGCAGACTTGGCTTGATCCTTTGAACTGAACGGTCCAGTTGTTGTCCCGCTCTTATCGTGTCCCTGTTACCTTCACACGTAGTCCGTTGTATTTCTCCGTTTATCTCCTACCATTCATCTTCACCCCGGCCAAGAGTCTCCGCGAACCGCTGCGCTAAGGTACGAAATTACTGATATACGGTATTCTGTGTGTGTAGACTTCCGTGTAGGCATCTGAGTAGTTTCGTGGAGTTGTGTGAATTTAGACTGTTACGAGAATATTCTGTGGTAATAGAACCAACGAAGAGTAGCTTTATAATACTGTGTTTGTGTTATCTATCGTGTGATCTATCTGTGCTACCTCTCGTGCTATCTATCGTGGAATCTATCGACGCAACCTGATACCACCCTTAAGAAACGGGCGCCACTAGCGCACCTGCTAAACCGAGAACCTGTGGAAACGGGAAGCTGAGTGGCTTCCTTAGATATCTATTATATCATACACTCCTGATATTACCATGCGGCAATCGCATCTAAAACCGAATTCATGCGTATTATTCAGTATATAGTCGGCTATCGCAGCTGAAATATTACTACATGGTAATCGCATTTAAAACCGAATGCGTGTTTTGCTGACAAAATGCGTCGATTTGCTGACAAAAATCGATAGTGTAAACGCAGCATAATTCAGCATTATTCAGTATAGTCGGCTATCGCAGCTGAGATATTACCAGGGGTGTATAATGTATGTGTATATCTCACCCGCATGCGTTTCATTCAGTATATAGTCGGCTATCGCAGCTGAGATATTACTACATGGCAATCGCATCTAAAACCGAATTCATGCGTATTATTCAGTATATAGTCGGCTATCGCAGCTGAGATATTACTACATGGCAAGCGCATCTAAAACCGAATGCGTGTCTGACCGCACGTGAATGCACGCGTCATCTGCCTGCGTTGGAAATGTCTGTCAGGCAGGCAGGCAGGCATTCATCAACGACTGCGGCTGTGTTTCAATAGAAGCCGTCGATGCCTGAACGGAAATGTAAACGGGAGAGCGGAGGCTGCTGCTTCTGCTGTTGATGATGATGGTGATGATGATGATGATGACGATGCGGCGGCTGCTGCTGCTCCTGCTGCTGCTGCTACTGCTACTGTTGCTGCTACTACTGCTGTTGCTGCTACTGTTGCTGCGGCTGCTGCTGCTGCTACTACTACTGATGATGATGCCGCTGCTGCTGCTACTGTTGCTGCTACTGCTGCTGCTGCTACTACTACTGATGATGATGCCGCTGCTGCTGCTACTGCTGCCGTAGCTGCTGCTGCTTGGCTGCTGCCGTAGCTGCAAACATTGTTCAATGATGGTCGATGGTACAGAGTTTATCAAAGGCGGTTTTGGTGATGTGCTTTTATTATCATTTGTTGACACGGCGATTATTCGCCATTAGCGACGGCAGCCCGATATTCCGCCGAGAGAGGGAATCGAACTCCGTGCATCGGTGATCCTTTTTTTTATACGTTCAACTCTCGGCTCGTTTGGCTGGCCACGAGATTAGGATCTTAGTCGTGTTTGTTATCAGGCAGAGACATCTATCTTCACTCTCCGCTAGACCATTAACACCACGCACCTCTTTATAACTCTCTGCCCGATGCATGGTTACCACCTTCTTTATCTATCTACCAAACCCTTATATCTTCCTCCATCTTTGCAAGACTTGGAGAGGCAAAGTTAAGGTTAGGCTAATGCAAGGTTAATATTCTCTCTCCGCTCCTCCCTCCCTCTTCTTTATCTTATTCCCTTCCTCCTGTCTACCTATCTCCCTCCCTCCTGTCTACACCCTCCTTCTTTCCCCCTCCTTTCCTCTCTACCTCCCTCCCTAGCTCCCTCTCTCTTCTCTACCTCCCTCCCTCCCGCCTCTCTACCGCCCTCCCTCCCTATTGGACCTCTCACTTTATCACTGACAGCCATACCTTCTTGATGTTGGCCGCATAGTGCTTGCAGGCCAGCTTCTCCACTGTCGCTTCGAAGCCGAAGAAAGAAATCACGTCTAGACTCGCTTCCTGCTCAAAGCACGTCCAGCAGGAGTTGTCCGGATGCACCTGACAAAAAGAAAGAAAGAAGAAACGTGTGAGCGCGCGTGAAGATGCATGCTCGTACGGCGTCGGCACACGCAGTCTCGCATTCCAGCATGACTTTACTCGATTGCGCACGACATTATTCTCCTATGCGACGCAGAAAGAAACGCACATTCGCAGCTGTGTTCGCCTGCACGAGCAGATTGAGGGCAGAAAAGGAAAACAAGCAGATGAGGAAGTACGAACGTTTCATTTTCCACTGGTTTCACAGCGTGCTGCCTTATTATATACGCTCTTATTACATAGCCCTACCATGCGTGAATATTACAAAGAATACATAATAGAGAGTTAGAGACTATTATGTACTCTTGTATGTACTTATGTACGTATGTTGTAATTTTGTACTTGTGTATTTCATGTTATGTATACTTATATGTTTGTACTTTGTACTTTCGTATTATTGTACTTATGTCGTATGTACTTATGTACTCTATTATGTACTCTTGATATTGCGTAGCCCTATCACACTGTTTTTTTTTATAAAGCTCTATCATATACCCTTATTATATATAACCTTACCATGTCTTATTATATAGTTTTATCATATACACTTGTTATATAACCTTAGAATATGCCTTTGTGTTATATAATTATAATAACCTTATTATATGCCCTTGTTACATAGACTTATTACATTGCCTAATGACATAGTCTTGTTATATTCCTTTACGGCATAGTCTTGTTATATTCCATTATTACAAAGTCTTATTATATATCTCAGCCGAAGCAAAGAGGATTAAGTCGTCATTGTTGACGTCATCAGTGTTTGCTGGATGTTTTTCGACACCTATTACCGAAACGGTGCACGGTTCGCTGACGGACGGAACAAAGGACGCAATTACACGCACACGCACGCGCGCGCACGCACCCCTGCACACAGAAACGCACGCCCACGACACGCCCGAACGCACGCATGCGCGCGCTGCCATCCAAGCGCTGAAAAGCGCGCAGCTTTGCCGCGTACATGAAAAGGCTTCTCGTACCATCATAATACGAAACTCGAAATGAATCTCGAAGCTTCGTGAAAACGGCCTCAGGATACGGCTGCCGGACTAGTGCATGCATCAAGTCTCAATTGATCTCTGCCTCTGAACTTTCGTCTAATCCAAATCGAACCGCCGCCAGCGGCGGCCGTGTGAAATGCCACCAGCTCAACAACGACAGCAGCTAAGAGACGGCAGCAGAAAGACGACCGCTCGCTCTCCCCTTCACACGTCTGCTGCTGCTGCTTCTGTTGCTGTTGTGCTCTTACTGCTGCCCCTGCTGCTGCTGCTGTTGCTGCTACTGCTGCTGCTGCTGCTGCTGCTGCTGTTGCTGCTGGTGGTGCTACTACTGCAGCTGCTGCTGCTGATGCACACGCAGACCCGAGACCCAGGGTTCCTGAAGTAGGTATGACCCCTACAATCGCACCACCAATAGCAGTGAGCGCCACTATAGCTCCGTGAATGATACACCGCGGTTGAAACGAAATACCGTCGGCTTCCTTTATGTAGGGCGTGTAAGCAAGTGTATCGAATAAGAGATAGAGAGAGAGCAAGAGAGAGCGCGCGCGTAGGAGCAAGAAAAAGAGAGAGAGAGAGAGGGGGAAGGAGCAAGAGAGAGAGAGAGAGAGAGAGAGAGACAGACAGACAGACAGACGCAGAGAGAGAGAGAGAGATAGAGAAAGAGAGAGAGAGACAGAGAGAGAGAGAGAGAGAGAGAGAGAGAGAGAGAGAGAGAGAGAGAGAGAGAGAGAGAGAGAGAGAGAGAGAGAGAGAGAGACGAGAGA